GAGGAGAGGTAAGTAGAAGTAAGTGGGACTCGAAGATACACTGAAGTCATCGGGGCTGAATTAAAGGATTTGGACGTGTGTCCTCTCTCCGGTCACCAGAGAGGAGAAGCCCCCTGCGGAGAAGACCCACCGCTCCCTCTGAAACAACACATGGCCCGGGCCCCGGCTCCCAGAGGTCCCCCCAACCGTGGTGAGTGCCAGTGTGACTGGCAGTTGGGTGCAAAGCCTGGAGGGAGGGGGCACTTGGCCAATTCAACCCCCGCAAAAATGCACTTTACTCACACTCACTTGAGTGAGGACAGAAAATGACAAAATGTCACAACCTTTTTAGAAGGCAACTGGCAACATTTACCAAGTTTAAAGCATGAATACCTTGACCCAGTAATTCCAACCTATGAAGTTGTTCCATGGCATTAGTAGGGCGACCATGCCACAAACACATACACAAGGATGCTATTTATCGTATTAGAAACAAAAATGGAAATAAACTCAGTGCCCTTCAAGACAGGATTATTAGCCAAATTTTCGTACAGCCAGACAACAAAAATATATTATTCAGTGATGTGATATATCTACATAGATTAAGAGCTAGGCCCATAATATATTTTTTAAGTTGTAAGAGTATAATAGTATCATCCTATTTGTTTTTTTAAAATAAGTATTTTTAAAAACCCACAAACATACACACTCATCCCCTGAGACTGTCTGAACTCTGAATCAGGAGAGGCTGAAAGACTAGAGGAAAAGCTAGCGCAGCCCTTCCTGAGATAGACTTGTGGTGCCCACAGGTACCGGCCATTTAAGAATGACTTAACTGAGCCCAGTGGTGCAGCCCCCGAACCAGCAGCATCAGCATCCCCTGGGAACTGGCTGGAATGCAAACTCTCGGGCCCCACCCAGACCTACCACAGCAGGAACCCAGGGCGTGGAGTTCCAGAGGACTGAGGCTTGAGAATCCCCCACCTGAACGTGTGGAAACAGTCCCTGAACTAGGGGATGGTCTCTCACTTCAGGGTCACTGTGCCAGGAAGACTCCCTCGTGTCAGGTGGGGTTTTCCAGGGAGGGGATAAAGGAGGTCTTAGATTGGAGTGAAGAAAAGGGAAAAAATCTCCCAGCCTCTCTGAGACCAAGACTCAATTTGGCTGGGACCCTACATATGGCAGCTCTAAATGCCATTCTGGGGCAGGTGGACTGAAGGCAGCCAAAGGCAAGGCAGAGGCCGAGCAGGGAAGGGGTTGGACCTCAGCAGCAATATTCTCTGAGCCTCACCCTCTTGCTCCTGTCATCCTCAGAGCCCCAGAAAAGTCTCATGAAAAGTAATTCTGGTCTCAGCTGTTCAGTGGGAAACCATGGCAGGTCACAGAACAAGGGAGTGAAGGAAAAGGAGTGTCCATTCCTACTCTGGCCAGGAAAGTGCAGCCTTGCCAGGTGAGCAGGGGAGGTACCCCTAGACAAGCACAACCTCGCAGAGAAGAACAAGAACAGTGCAGTGAGGTGGCAGGGGAGGGGCCCATAGCTGAAGAACCCTGAGCACACTCCAGGTGGTGCCCCAGGAAAGGCTCAGAAAAAGCTGGAGATCAGACACTGGACAGGCCTCAGGGTATGGAAAAAAGGGAGCAACTTGCAGAAATAAGTTGGAGGAGGTTCCTGCTGGGATTGAGCAAGAGAAAGGGGTAGATCTGGAAAACCAGCTCTGAAAAATAAGCCCTTTAGGACTTCCCTTCAAAGCACTTACCAAAATTTTATTTTACATTTATTTGTGCAATCATTTGTCTTTTTCCCAGTCTAGACTGTAAGCTTCATGAAGGCAGAAATGGCAGATGTTTCACACACCACTATATCCCGAGTTATTAGCTGGCACACAGTGGGCACTCAAAAAATAGGCTGGACAAATACAGTTCAAACTAAAACACTGTGGAGTGTTTGATTATTCTTTCACTGTATTGCTGACTTTTTTGTTTTTGCCAAAAAAGTATATTATCATGTGAAAGTATATGACCAAGAAGTATATTATCAAAGGAAGATATTTCCTTTTTGGAAAGAAAGAGTCATCTTCACAAATACACTGGGTAGTCCCTGAGTTGTAAACACTCACTGAGTAAGGCAAAAGAGTGCGGGTAAAAAGGGGGGAAGTATTTCACTGGAAATACACAGAAACACACCCAACAATGGTCATCAGTGATGTCCAGCCTGATGCCCTCAGACACTGCAACATCCCCGAGTGACCTGGAAATCAATGGTTGACTCTGTGCAGCGGTGTTTTAGCATGAAGAGCTTCCGTGGCATCACGAATCGTGGAAAACTGGCCATCCACATATAATAAAACAGCATGTACGACCTTCAGCAAACACCAGCGTCACCACGCCAGGGACTGCGGACACCCGAGACCCACCCGACGTCTGACGGCCGGGAACCGTCACCAGCACTCCTAGGTCTGACAGTGTGGCTGAGGAGCAGAAGGGGAGGCTGCTCCAGAGGGGACTGCAGAGACGGGGACAACAAATTGAGAAGTCGAGCAAATACTCCCCAGTCTCCTAGCCTAGGGAGCTTCCCCTGACCTGCAGAGGAGTTATAAAATGAAATTTTTATAAATAAACAGTTGACCTCTTTTTACTTCCAGCAGCAACAGGGAACCGCTCGTGTAAAGTGGCTGTGCCCCCCGGGTCAGCAGCCCATCTGGCGCCTGGCTCCTGGGCCCGTGTCACGGCACTGAGCGGACTCTGTGCAGGGGGGACCGATCCCACGGCGGGTGTGACAGACGCAGAGGTCTGGCCGTGGTCTGCCGCAGGGCCTCCTCAACCACTGCTTCTGTCAGGCCTCTCTGCGGCCCGGCCACCGCAAAACGCCTTGCGCTTCAGCCTGGATGGTGACCTCATGTAAAACTCAGGGTAAAAGGAATGGGAAGTGCCCCTCCTCCTCCGTGTCCCCCCACCCCCTAGTCCCCTTGAACTCAGGGTCAGGCCTCTGAGGAACCAGATGCTTATCTGGGAACAGTCCAGCGGGCAGTACAAAGAGATGACTCCCGCCTCTCTCCCCGACAGAGAGGGCTCCGGGGAGCCCGGACGCTCCGGCTTGGAGAGCAGAGGCTGGGTAATTGCCAGGCTGACCTGCTGGAGCCTCTTGCCCCGCTCACCTTTCACAATAATGCACGGTACAGCCTCATCATGAAATGTGCTTATTAATCTTACTCATTTGACACTGCGCTCTTGTGCCCTGAGCTAGATGTTAGGAGAAAATGATAGGGATAGATTCTGCTCCTGTCAGACTTACCGAGACTTTCAGGAAACCCAACTATCAAAGGCCATCTGCCGCCCACCAGCCAAGCATGCACGATGACCCCGAAGGTACAAGCAGAATGTTAAAGACACAGACCAACGAGCGGGAACAGCAAGAGGACCCAGGCCCCCCAGGGGAGCAAGCCCGGAGCCAGTCCTCCCAGGGACGGCGAGCACCAGCCCCTGCCCTGATTCACGACTCGCTGCTTCATCTCTAATTCATCAAAAGACACTCAGCCTTCTCAAATCAGGAACATTTTTATTAGCTTCCCCAAGAGTTTTATGGCACAAAGCCATACCTAATGATTCTATTTTATGGCAAGTTATACATTCAAACAGTACTTTGAAGTCAGGCAGCAGGTAAGACTCAAATCTTTGTCAAAAAAGATTTCCCCCATTCTTTCACTTTTTAAATGTTTATAAGCTTTCAAACAGTTGGGAAAGTGATGTGGGGCATTTTAACAGGCTTCCCCTTCCTCGCGCGGGGCCCGCGTGGGCTGACCCAGTGTGCACTGCAGTGTTCTCAATGGGGGCTGATTCTGCCTGCCCACCCCCCTTGCCTGGGGACATCTGGCAATGTCTGGACACATTTTGGTTGTCACAACTCGGGGGTTGATGCCATCAGCATTTAGTAGGAAGAGGTCAGGACACTGCTAAACATCCTAGAAGCCGCAGGACAGCCCCACTCCCCACAGTTATCTGATCACCTGGCCCCAAATGTCAGTAGCGCCACAGTCGAGAAACCCTGCCTTGGGGCTTCTACTGGACTGGCCATTGCATCCCTCCCACCCCTGGTACATCGAAAACGGATCTCGCCATGGTGCCAGGTTTTCCGTGCTGGCTAATGAGACTCATATTCTTTTATTCTTATGTAGTCCTAGTGTACATTTTCAATGAGAAACAATAAGATGTCATCATAAACAAAATGAGGAAAGGGAAACTAAGACCGCCTTAGAATCTCAGAACACATCAACACTGTTAACTAACTCTCCTAAGAGTTACTCTGCACTTTTTAAGCTCCCTCCAAATCAGAATTTATCTATTGAAACAACAAAATAACCAATTTCAGCCATTGGTACTACTGAACATCACCACAGGCGTCTGCTGAAAAGTAAAGCAAGTTCTCTGCTAATCTGTGGTGATGTGTCAGAGCCCTGGACGTGGGAGAGGGTCTGGTCCTGACTCACCACTCCCAAGGACTGGGCTGCGTGACTTCACTTCTCAGAGCTTCGGTTCTCCTGATCAACACAGCAGGGATAAAGCAACTTGCCCTCCCACACGCCAGGGAACTGTGAGAGCCAAGAGAGTTCATAGGTAGGAAACTGCTTTGTAAACTGTAAGGAGCGATATAGATGCATATCAATACATTTATGACATTAATACATGTAAGACAACCTATGACAACCACCGAGGGTCTTTCAGACTCTTGGATCCTTTTCATGAAATGTCACAACTAGAAATGACTTTGGAAATCAACTAGTCGAACCCCTTAATTTTACAGAAGGTGAAAACGACCATCACGGAGGTCAAGTGACCCAGAGAAGGCCAGGAAACAGCCCAGATAGGCCCACATCTTCTGTTCCCAAACCAGGATGCTTCCCACTTGTGATGCTCTCTCTCCCTGGTTAAGTTCCTGGAGGAAAGAAGCACGTCTTACACACAATGTTCAGAGGGTTCTGAACACAGGAGATAAATACATGCCGCAGCAGTGAATCTTGACTTACTACATCATAGCCTGTCGGGGCTCGGTTCCGAGAAGCCACCACCCCCACTCCTGTGATGGGGTCCATCGATGTCTCTGGCAAGGCTTCTGAAAGGTCTTTGACTTCAGGCATGGTGGATTGCTCCTGGTTCCAAAAAGGAAAAAAAGAAAGCACAAAATTCAAACTGAGTGAGCATTTAAAGTGACCGGTACAAAGTCTCAGACAGGTAGAACCAGAATCTTGAGGCAGATACCCTGAACTAAGCTCCATATACCTGGACTGGCTCAAGGAGCCCTGGCCTTGCCTGACCCTTTCCTGACATTAAGAATTCAAGCCACCTCCAGTCCCTGCTCTTCCCAAGTTAGCTGTGAATACTCTCCCATCCAGCTGCCTGACTTTTGAACAGATACCAGAAGCTTTTCTGAGGATAAATCAGACATGGCTCAATCCAACAACACCTCCCATCTTTCTCGCTCACAGTATCTCTCTGTGGGAAGTGCAGCCTTCCAAACCCACAGCCTCTACACGTCCAAGGGTGGACTGTTTAGAAGGCAGAGCTCTGCAAACACATAGAAGGTGCTCTGGGCACGGAGACCCAGGCACGACACCGGAGTCCAGGCTCCATGACTTACTAGCTGATGACTGGTCAGGATAATGACAGTCACAGAGCTGCCGTGAGAACTCAGGGAGTCATGGAAATGAAGGGCCTGCAGAGGTCTCTGGCACACAGTAGGCGCTCAACAAAAAGCAGATGAGACTGGCGGGTTTGGAACACAAAGGTCCAGTGTAACCGGCCAGAAACGTGGTTGGTGCTGTTCCCAAGAGGACTGGTGGGTCTCTTTGTTGTGTTTAATCCTGCAGGTCATGTGGGCACTCACTCAAAGCTAAACACTAACAATGACCATAATTCTTGTTGGGCACTTTGGGAGAAAGGGAGGGAAGTGGAATTATTATTCTGCTGCTGACTGCCTCTTGATGTGACCAGAGGAGACAAGCAGAATATAGAGAGCACTGGGCCTGGGCAGCTCGAGTGGCAGTGCACCAGAAAGCAAATAAAAAAGGTAACACCTTATGTAAATGACTTTTAGTGCTTTTAAAAGGACAAGAGTGAAAAAGAGCAAGTTAAATTCCACCTCCTTCTGCAGCAATTAAATTCCACTGGCTGTAGATCTGCCAGCTCTCTCAGGGCTGGTTACTGCCTCAAAAGCAAACCAAACACCCTGCCTAACTAGGCAGGCAGGAGGAGTATTCTCAGTTCTCAGCCTAGAATCAGAAAAAGCATAGGCTATTTAAAATGACTACAGCCTCCTAAATAGAAACAACCAGAATGCTGTATGCAAGTCACAATGTAATCAGCGTCTCCGGGAACCCAGGAAAGGCTCCGGAAACAGACTTGTCAGCGCAGCGGAGCCAAGTCTCGGATCAAGGCTAGGAAGCGCCTGGCAGCAATACACTCTCAGCTTCTGTTTATAACAAAAGCCAAACTAAGTTACCCTTTACTTAATTCTCCTGAAAATAAGCTTCTCAAAGCCCAGGGAAGGGGGACAGGGCACCACGCTGCATCATCACATCGTTTTATATTTTCAAATTTCATTTACCAGGCAGCTTTATCCGTGTAACACACAGAACTCAGTGCTTCCTGCGCACAGTAGGCGCTAAGTAAGTTTTTATGGAATGAATATGCATGCATGTCCCCAATAAGGAAGGCTTAGAATTAAATATCTGCAGCAGCCCAGTCCAAAGCAAACACTGACCAAAAAGTACTTCACTGGGAAAAATCCCGTATTATTGGTAACATGGAAATAAAAGCACTGCTGCAGTTTGCAAAACAGTGGTACCTGCTGTTGGTTACCAAAAAGCTTCGCAATTAACAACTCATTAACAGAATGTACGAATTCTGCCAGTGCTAAAATATCATGCTGTGAATTTAATAAAGAACATGGAGAGGTAAGTCTTTTTTCATTATTAAGATAGTACTGCCTCTACTATCGGAGAGATAAGAGAGGGGAAGTGAGCATGGGAATAAAT